GAAATAAGACTGACAAATGGTCATCAAATGGTGAGTTTTGAATAATGGGCTCTTCCAGTTTTGTGGTGTTGGTACAATAATCATGCATCCCTTCAGAACTGGCCGAGTGTCCACCCTTTCTGTGAAGTGTTGACCAGCCGAACCCTGTTTACTAAGGAGAAGCTTCTAGAGATCCCTGTTACATGCTAGATGAGTGATGGCCATTTGGATCAATGAATGAAGGTTACAAATAATACTTTCCTGCTCATATCAGCCTCATGGTGTAAACAAGAAAATATGTCAGGGACACTGGAGACCACAGCTACAGATCTCTTCCTGATTATTTGATAAATTCATTCTTAAAATCATTTTGAGCTCCTGCTGTGGGCCAGGTGTAAGAGAGATCCTAGAGATAAAACAGTGGGTCTTAACCAGGGGTTATTTTGCCCTCCAGGGAACTGTTGGCAAGGTCTGAATATATTTTTGTTCACAATAAGGCAGGGGGGAGGTATGGCCAGATATGCTGCTAAAAATCCGACAATGCATAGGACAGTACCCTTCAACAGAGAATCATTCAGTCCCAAATGTCAATAATGCAGAGGTGTAGAAACTTTGAGATAAAGAATTAAGATTCAGTCCCTGCTCTCAGAGAAGTTTGTCTGTTCATTGCAGTGTTTCTTAATATGGCTTGAAATCTGTGCTAATGAAAATTTCTGCATTGTGAAAGAAACCCTTTGAGTTCTTTATTTGAAGCAATTATAAGTAAAACTGAATTTCCTAATTCTATTTTGGACTAATAGCATGTGCTATAGATGGAAAGGGTTCATTACATTCTTACTAATAAACCTTATATTTAAGAAATATTTAGCAGGAGTTCAGTATCTTTTAACATCTTTATCAGCAGAGTGAGCCTATGTTTTTATTTGAATGTATCTGTAGATTATAATTGAGTAGAAAATAACCTACAAGTTGGGAATATATAGTAAACCTCAATGGTTCATTTCCTTTACCTTGAACTTGCTCATAACTTCAGCAGGGCATAGTTAAAAATCTCACTTTACTTAGAAATCCTCTGGTTTAATATTAGTTGCAGATGGATTGTTTGCAATATTTTGGAACTAGTTATTTCAAGCACTCATATATACTACTTGCTATAAAATCAACCAATATGTTAATTAAAATAAAATACCAATTTATTAAAGTGGCACCCTAAGGACCTCAAATACACCCTGTTTTGTTTTGTTGATGTGGGAGGTCAGTTATTTGACCTGGTGATAGTGAGCTGCTCTGGAAAATTGCCTTTTCTATTTAATGAGGAGCAAAGTTGGCCAGAATGACCTCTAATGCTTTTTTCCCTGCTGTTCAAGTTTTCAGCTTAGCAGCTTTTGAGTGTGGCTTTTAGAGGCTTGGCATCCTCACTCTTCAGCTCAAAATCTCCCTTTATCACTGTGCCAAGTGCTCTGGGCGTTCCAGTTAACTGGGATGGTCTTGAAAATAATTGAAAAATATCTGTAATTCAGACTCTTCACTAATTTATACTGGTTTTTGCCCCCAAAGAATCCAAATTCCTGTGGGTTCATTGGGCTTCAAACTCAATATTTAAGAATCATCACAAAGTACATACTTTTTGAGTTGCTGATGCTTAAAAACTGAAAGCAGAAAACTCTTCTGAGCCTCAATTTCCTCACTTTTAAAATGGACTCTAAACATTTTCTTATTTTTTAAAAGTAATTATACTATTTAAAATTATTCATTATTATATTGACATGCTCTGTCAGTAGCTGGCTACCATTCTCTTTCTTTCCTTCTTTCCTTCCTTCCTTCTTTCCTTTCTTCTGTTTGGAGTTTTTACCATTGAGAACATACTTTTTCATGTTTAAAGTATGAGAGTTTTGCCTTCAAATATAAACATTTTTTTTTACCACACTTTAGAATTTTCAACTCACTGTCAAGGACTTCCTTGGTTAGGACTTTAACTGTGTCCACTCTAAATATTTCCTTTTCCCTCTAAATCAGCTAGTTTTTACTTTATCAGCAAGATCAGTACCCCCAAATATCGATCTTTGTAACTTGTTCCAATTTTTTATCATTTCTGAACTGAAGCCAGCTGAAGCCATCTTGACAAGTCTGAGCAAATATCAACATTGTTGGGGACCTATCCTATTTTTTTTTAAACAACTATGAAAAGCTGTTCTCTCTGAAAAGCTATTCTTTAAGATAGTTGGCCCATAGTTGGCCCAAACTTTTTGTTGTTGTTGTTTTGTGTGTGTGTGTGTGTGTGTAGAGATGGGAAATTATTAGGCCATGAGATAAAGCTTGATGGAAATGCTGTATGGCAGAAGCCTGTAAGTGGGTTACTCGAGACAGTTGTGAGGGGTGGAGACATAAAGGTCACCAAGCAACTGTCTCAAGCCAAAAAATGATGGGGCCTGAGAGTCTGCCAGTGGCCCACTCTGTGAGCCTTGTGGGGATCATGTGCCTCAGACCAAGCACCGCAGTTCCAAGCTGATAGTTCTTATTTGTTTGTGTGAAAGGTTAAAAACTTCTGACTGGAGTAGAAGTAAGGCATTGAACCATCAGGGAACTCTAGGCTCACTCTGGCCACAGCAAGACTTTGCCCTTCTCCTGATTCCCTGGTCTGCATGTAGCCAAGTGGACTCATTTCCAGTGAAGGCTGGGAAGAGGAGCAGGCAGAGGATGACACTGCCCTAGTAGCACAATCCTGGTCCCAATGCAATACTCTGGGTATAGCTTTCACAGATCTCAATGGGCAAGTAGCCCAATGCTAAAGCTGGTCCCTACCACAACAGCCTCTTCCCAGAAGCTTCCAGAGATAAATGGCAAGGCCGATGAATGGGGTCAGCTGGGGTGGGTGGGAAGGCCTGTCCCACCCACCCCAGGTACCTGTCCCAGGGCTGGGGGATAGCTCAGAGCAGCTCACTATCCAGGGTTGGCTGTGGAGCCCACATTTATCACCCAACTGGAGCTGGCATCTGAGAAAAGGGCATTGCCAGACACAACAAAGAGAAATCTGTGGCTTGAGGTTTTATAATGTAATTACAGCCTACCAATGCCTTCTTTTCCACCTGTATGACACTCAGCATTAAGCACTTGCTTCTAAAGGGAAAATTGAGAATTCTGTTCCCTCATGGATGGAGGAAAAGCAGCTCTTGCCAGTACTCTGTGAAGTTGGAGTACCCCGCTGGCTGCTATAGAACAATTGCCTGATGCTGTGGGGGAAGCAGAAACAACCACAAACATGGTGAGAACAGATCTCACCATAGGAAATGCTAGTCCCTAGGCACATTGGTATTTGAAACTAGAATACACATTCCATGCTCAGGAAACCCACAATGGGAGTGAAAATGGAAAAAGACTGCACCATGTAGAAGCTGAAAGTATGGAGTCTGGGTGGGGCAAAAGAACCAACTAGTTAGCCTGACAAAAACAGCTATTTCATTATTTACCATCATGTCACACTTGGAAAAAGAAATTTTAACAGCACAGGAAAAGAGCAGGAAAAAAGAAAAGCCATTTTCGGTGTGTGGTATAAGACCAGCTGAAGCTGTAATCCTACACACAGAGGGCCTTGTAATAAAAGAACAGCCTTGCAACTGCTTTTCCTCCTGTTTGTGTTCACAGTAACAGCTGGATACATACTAATTGCAAGAAGTGAAAGAAAGAACTTTAAGTTTAAAAGCAGACATGCCATGATCAGTCTTTTGCCAGCATGATTCCAAACACAAGTGTGAGGTGGCACCTAGCAAGTCTGTTTTAAATGCTCACTCACAGTTCTTCACATATGTGGTTGGCTTTAGGCTGTCCGAGGAGGGCAGCATGCTGTTCCCTCCTTCCAGGTGCAAAGCTTCTGCCTATCAAGAAATGGCATAAACAAGGGTTCTTGGCCATGGCGCCAATGACATTTGGACTGAATCGCTCTCTCTGGTGGATGCTGTCTTGTGCATTGTGGGATGCTACCCACCAGATACCAGTAGCACCTTCTTCCCCAGCTGTGACAACCCAAAGTATCTTCAGGCATTGCCAGATGTTACTTAGGGGCCATTACCACCCCCAGATGAGAACCACTTTGCTACACTAACAAGAAATGACTTTCTCTTCCCTCTCAGACCCTACTCCCAAATATCTACCTACTGGTGAGACATCTCCACATCCACCAGCAATAAACTTTCTTCTCTTTCTGAGTGGCCTTCAGTAATATGTTTGATTTGCAAGACTTTTGGTCACTCAGAAAAAATGTTTTTGTTGCCTTGGAAATTAAGGTCATTTCCAGCTAAAACCCATCTTTTTAGAGAAAGTTCAGACAAAGAATTTACACACCAGGGACTCTGTGAACTTTAAGTGGCCTTGGGTACTTGAAACTCAACTCCTCCAATCCCACACCCTTTGCCACATTTTTACTGAGACCTAGAGGGGGAAGTGACTTGCTCAAGGTCATACATATTCCTAATCCTCCTTGGGTGGAGGCATAAGCCAATAGAATTCTTTTTTGCCCAACATGCCTAAAGAGCTTAGGTCTCTAAACACAGAGAACTTGTAGTGCTTTACAAGCAACAGTTTGGGCTAAACAATGTCAGTTAAGGAATGCAAAATTTAAAAATGATAGAATGCTGTAACCAATTAGTGCAAACAAACATTTATTGTGAAATATTCAGCCTACCCTTTATTAGGTATTACATCATCAAAGCACTTTGTGGCAATGAAAATAGCTTTTTTACCCTTCTGATTCACCCAATATTCCATTAAAGCTGCAAAAAATGTGCAATCTGCTTGAAAAATAGGTTGCTCTTATTTACTCATTTGTGAAAAGTCAAAAATAAAAAATAAAAGAAAATGATGCTAGTTTACAGGGCTTCTAGAACCAATTCGCCTCCCTGTTTCCTAATTACTCCCCCAAATAATTAACAAAGATAATTAGTTTTAAATGCCTTTTTATAAAACCAATGCACCTTTCTCCATATTATAATCATAATTTTTTTTAAAAAAACAACAACACACATTATTTACTTTCTTGGAAAAAAGGTGGCCAGCCGTTGTTTTTTGATCGGGAGCATGTGTATTTCCTGGGAGTTCACTTTCTTGAACTTTAAGCTCCGGCTTTTGACAGGTTTCCTAAGGGGCTCTGTGTTTCCCATGGACTCTTCTCCTTGACTGTTGATGTCGTAGCCCTGAAATACAGAATCTTCTCTTTTGAAGGAGAAGTTTTTGGTGGACACGCCTGAGAGGCCTTTGATCTTGCCACAGAAGATAGTAGGCATGGCATCTTCCACCGAGACAATAACCTTGGCCGCCTGGGAATTGCTCACCATCTCAATGTTATTTTCAGCCTTGACCTCGCTGCTGGGCTGGCTGGGCTGGCTGAATGGCTGGGTGGTATCACTGCTGCCCAGGTGGCTATCCCTCATGGCTGAGACTTCATGGGGTGTGGCAGGGGCAAAGGGCATCTCCATGCCTCTGGGCAGTTTCTCCTGCACCTTGTGACATGGGCTGTCCACTGATCTGCTGCTATTATACAGAGTCTCAGGGGGAGGCTCAGACTTCCGGTGGGCTGCCAGAGATAGGTCTAGGGCTGCATCCTCCTGGCAGATCAGGGGACTCACTGCGCCAGCCTTGAGCCAGGGCACTGACTTCATGGAGAGATCCAGGGCCTCGTTTTCACTCCCCATCTTGATGACTGTGTGGCGGTTGAGCTGGAAATACTCCTTGGGCTGGAGGATGTCAAAGGGCTTCAGTTCCTCCTTCTCCAGAGGGGTCTGAGTGGCTTTAAAAGGGTGTAGACCGAAGGAAGAGGGCGGCTTGGATAAATTGGGGCTGAACTTGGACTCAGAACTCTGAGGCACTGGGATGGGGATGGGAATGGGGATGGGTACAGGCAAGGGGACGATCACAGGGTAGGGCACCAAGAGGGTGGCTGGCGGGACCAGGGGGGACAATGGGGAGCTAAAGGGCTGGGGGGGCACAGGGGCATATCCAGGAGGAGGCTGACAGGGTGGGGAGCCAAGAGTGCTCTGTGAGGGAAACAAATTCTGGAGCACAGCTTCAAATGGCAACGTGGGCTCCTGTGGCTGGCTGGGGATTCGCAAGTCCAGGAGCTGGGGCTGGGCCTCGGGGTCCTCTGCTGCTTGGAAGAGGTTGTTGTGGATGGCATTGGAGGAACATGGGGCCTCCTGTGGCAGGACTAGAGGAGAGTTGAGGTGCTGAAAGACATGTTGCTCCAGCACCACGGGCAGCTGCACAGGGCCCTGTGTGGTCATAACATAGGTGGCATTGCCATTAGGGTTGAGCTCCGGTGCAGTGCTTCCCTCCACCTGCATGTGAATGGGCATCACCACCGGGCTCTCCCCAAGGCACAGGGGCTGCAACACGGTGGCCGCCACTTTTAGAGCCATGCCGCTCTGGGACTCAGCTGGGGGGTTCAGAATGGATGGGGCTGGCACCGTCACCAGTGCCTTCTTTACCAGGTCTGTGGAGTTGATGTTCCAGGCCTCTGTGGTGATCAGCTGGGCCATACCATTCTCCAGTCTGTTATTGGCCAAGGCAGGAGAGGAGTTGGTCATGTCCATGGAGAGGTTCTGTGACTGCAGATCATCCATCACTCACCTTTGATGCCACTCGACCTGCAACGTAGAGCACACAATATGAATTTTCCCTCAGAGACAATTTATAATTGCCTTAGAGCTATCTTCACACCTTTGAAAAGTTTCAATGTCTTCATTAACCAGAGAGCTTACCCATCTCTCTATGTACACATACATGTTATAGGCATTTCCTAATATATACGAACACACTCGGGTGATCAGCTGTGTGTGACGAGCCCCAATTTAACAGAGGATTTTCATATAAAAAGAGATGATCTAATGACTAAATTGCCAAGTGGAGTTAAACAGAGTATTTTAACCCCAATACTCAAGTTATATGTTTAGCCTTCAAGAGGCACAAAGAGTCATTCCACTTTGCTATATCAGACAGTAAAGACATGCAGAGATATAACTTGTTCAAATTCAAATAAGCAGTAGAGTCTGTCCTTTATGAAAAAAAACTAATCACATTAGAATATTCTATGAAAATAGAAGAGGGCCATTTCAAAACTGTAATTGAATTAAAAAAATAAAACCCAACAATTTGTAGTAATAATTATTCAAAAAAAAAGGCTTGATAAGAGGAAGAGCCTTGCACTTAGACAAGGGAGTCATTACAGTTGTCTCACTATCTCCATCCTTCCAATGACATCCTCTTTCTTCCCAATTTTCTACCACTGAAGATACAAAACTTGCGTGAATGCTCATAGGGTCCAATGTCACCTTTGTCACCATCTGTTTGATCTGTGACTTCTTCTAACATCTATCTGTCAAGAGGAGGGGGGTACTGATGATTCTATGGCTGAAGAAATGAAACACTTGTTGGGAACAAGCATCCACAGAGGTGAGATACACTCACTTGATGTCCATTGCACCTCTGGCCCTTGGAGAGGCCAAAGAACCCAGCAGGTGCTTTCTGGAGGAAACAGGGCTGCAACTGTCAATATGGCTCTCCATGGAAACACATCCATATTTAGCCTGGTTACCATGGAGAAGGCAGACACCATGTATAACTCCAAGATCTGTGCATCCCTGGAGTCTGCTTGGGATCAATAATAATTTAATAATCCTCAATCTCACTGTGCATCTCTGATTCCAGACCTCACCTCTCTGAAATGTATAAACTTTAGTCCTATGATCATCTAGTCTTTTCTTGCTCACAACCTCAAAAACAAGTAAGAGAGGTGGCCCACCACACCATGGGATTAGAAATAAGCAAACAAGACATCGCTACAGGAAGCAGCTTTAACAAATTAACAACTCTGTGATGTTTCTAGATCATTCAAATGTGCCAAATGCAGAGGACAAGGAGTTTCTGTGAATCAGGAGGAGGGGAAGGCAAGAGGAAGGATGCTATGCAAAGCATTGCTTTGTGGAGTAAGACTGGTGGATGATGCCTTTGGCAGGTGCTCTGTGGTGCCTCTCAGAAAGGCTCCAGAGCCTGGCTCTTCAGGGTCAAAGTGCCCTCTGGAGACCACGAGATGACCCAGCATGCAGACCAATAGTGCCCTTGGGGCAAAGTAGGAAGGCAGCCTGTCCCCAGGAAGATGCATGACCTTGCCCCAGCTGCAGGGCCTGTTTTTCCTGAGAGGAATGCTCCCTGATTCAATCCAGAAAGCACCATATTTCCAATACACCATCCATTCATTTCTGCATGCAAGCATTCATTCATTCACTCCTCTAATCAATTAATTTTCTGAATGCCTACTGCATACCAACACTTTCTGGGGGCTAGAAATGCTGTCATGGGCCAGACAGAAGGGTTCCTGCCTTCAAGTAGATTAGTCTAGTGTGGAAAAATGCCATTGGTCAGATAGAGATTAGCTAGCATGAGAAGGCATCCAAGTTATGCCAGAAGAGGCAGCAACATCAGCAGGACAAAGCTTTGAAGGCTATTCACTAGCAGCTCTGAAAAGACCTTGAGAACTGAAGACCTCCTCCAGTAGGGTCTGCCCTGTCCCTTTTACTGGCCAGAACTCTCAGGGAGTGGTGAAAAAAGGCTGAAGAGAAGCTGGGGTGGGGCAGGTGAGGACAAGGACAGCAGTCAGAGAAGGCACCCGTAACCACCCATCTGAGGTAGCTTCTGATGACCTGCAAAGCAAGTCACTGAGAGAAGTCACGTTCTGTATTTCCTGAGGGTTTAGGATTATCCAAGCAGCAAGACTGTCTTTGTCATAATGGGCTGTACCTATCCACCCTTCCAAATGTGGTGGCCTCCCTCGCTTTCTGCCTCCCTTACCACTCCTCCGACCAAGGGAGAGACAGCAATTTCTCAATGTTTCCTTACACTGCTCTTGGCACACACATTCAGCTTAGGTGACAGCTCTCATTTCTTCCTGATAAATGTCACTCCTCTCCCTGCCTAGCCCTGGTACTAGGCCTGTCATTTCCCTGGAACCTTCTTGCTCAGTGTGTGAGGAGGGGACCTGGCCAGAGCAAAACACCTCCCACAGGCCCCTGCCCCTCCCAGAGATGGCCAGAGCTCAAACTCACTGAGCATTTGCCATGTTCCAGGCTCTCAGTTGAGAAGGCTGAGAAATTTTCATGCATTGCCTCACTTAATCCTCAGAACAACTCTATAAGAGGGGTTCCATAATTATGCCCATTTTATTGACAAGAAAACTAATTCCTCAAGAAGGTTACATAACTAGCATAAGGATACATTGAGGCTGGGATTAGAATTTAGGGTCAATTCCAGGCTCCTTTTCCCTGTGGAAACAATGAAGGCCACAAACACCCCTCCATGCATTTTTTTTCTTGGCAGAGAGGCCCCTATTGTTCCTTATTCAACACCAAGTGCAAGTGCCTGCAAAGGTGTGTGCAAGAGAGTGCTTCAGAAGAACATTTATTCAAAGTAGTGGCCAGGTTTCTTACAGAAAGTAATTGAACTATTTGCTCATCTCTTTTGTTTCTACCAGGGACCTCCTCAGTCCCTCTTGTCAGGGAAGGAGCTGAATGATCCTCAGAGTTCCTATCCCTGGGCAGTGAGTGCAGCCCAAAGTGGCTATGGTTGTGTTACTGGATGGTTAGGAAGCCTCTATTTTCTCAGCCTGCTTCCAGTTACCCATCTACCGCACCCTGCCTTCCTGAGACAGATGTCATGTGTGTGGGAGGGTAAGTCAGTACCCATGAGTTCCAGGGAGGCCATCATTCTCTCTTGCCAAGGCCTCAAGTCTCTGTGAACAGGGCTGAGGCCAGATGGATTACAGGACAGAGCACAATGCAGTAGGGGTGAGCAGTGTGCATCTTAGGGACAAAGGGACAAAATCTCACTTCCACATGATGGCTTTGGACCTCTCTGGTGATTCAGCCAATGTAAGCCCTGAGAGCACTCCAATTCTTTCCCTAGAAAGCCACCCCCTGCTTATATTGCCTTTCTTCTAGCAGTGAGTCCCAGATCTCCATCAGGTACCAGGTACCTCTTTCTCTCTGGTCATCCTGCTCTGTCATTCATCCTGCTAGCAGGCATCTTAACTAAGGGACAGAGACCTGAGTGCACCCAGTATGGGCAGAGCATGCCCTGAGAATAACAAACAGCTCAGCAATGCAGGTTCAAAAGGGAAGTATCTCTCCCCCAGAATGAGCTCTGAAGTAAGATAAGGACTAGAGAGAATGAGATGGCCTGTCCTCCATGTTGATTAGGATGGGGTGTGGGGTGCGCAGAGAAGTTAGTCAAATCAAGGAGTGTTTCAAGAGCCACCAACTAGTGCTCAAGCAGAAGGGGGCAATGATTTCTTCAGTAGCCACCGGGGACATTTTATTTGGATTTTTAAAACATTGTTGGCAAATGGATTTAAATGAAGTCACCCACCCATCCTCCTGAGTCCATTATTACTAGGAGTGTGGGGCAGGTTGGTTAACAAGGCAGCATGGCAGTGAGAAGTGAGAAATTAGTTTCTTTTTCTGTAACTTTGGATACTGCCCTACTCTCATGGTGGGGTAGAAAGTTAGCTCAGGCCTCCCAAGAGTAGTGTCTACTGAGAATTGTACTGAGGAGTCAAGCCTGGCCTTCTAGGAATTGCTGTGGGCCATGAAGGATGGGTAAGTATGGGCATTCTGGGAGAATTGAGAGGAGGAAAGTACACAAGGGAATGGGGGAAAGGGCAAAACTGGGGTGGGTCTGGCTGGGCCATTCCCATGACCACTAAGAAGACCCCTCCTTCACCCTTGGAACTTTGAAGGCCAGGCCACAGGAGTATGAGAGGAGCAGCTTGTAGGGAGGGACCAGGAATGCTGAAAACTGAGGCATTGGAGAACTAAGGCGAGTTCTCAGAGTTCTGGTCTGTCTTTAAATAAGATCAGTGGAGTGAAGGCTGAAAGAAGAGAAGATAAGAAAACCTCTTCAGCTTCAGTCAGAGCATGGTCTGTCTCTCTTGGGACTAACCTTCCTATTGCAGTGCAATCTCTGTGGGTTAAAGACATCCTACTATGTGGCAAACACACCTACTATGTGGTTTCTCCTGGGTCTCAGGTTAGGGCTGGACCTCAGCAAGTAAAAAGGTTTGTGCAAATCTGGTTGAAAAGAGAGATAGTAAAGGTGGACAAATCATAAGAGTACAGGGAAATTTTCACAACTAGAACTAACTGCTCACAGGCTTGGTTTTCTGTTGAAGCCTTGACTGGATTCCATCAGAGCACAAGAGGGATATAGGAGACTTCCCTGCCTCCTTTCTCACCCAGGTGGAGAGTGTGAGCTATCTTTGCATTTCTAAATTCATTTCATATTCCTGATGACCTCTAGCCTGCTCACAAAGAATGTATGGCAACCCTGAGGCCTTGCAGGCCTGGGTGTAGGACTAGAATAGGGAACCAGGTTCACATTCATTCATTTATTTATCCTTTCAAAAATTATCTGAGTACCTACTGTGTGCCAAGCAGGCATTTCCTATTCCTCCACCTTGGTGCTGTTTTCCTCATAGGCTCATTGCTCTGCCTCGGCTCAATTCCCAAATTGGTATTCTGACGGAGTTATCTGATCCTAACAGGGCTCCCTCAAGGCCCATTTTTCTTGCAGA